GGCTGCTCAGCTCGGGCTGGACTCGAACCGCTGTTGCTCAGAGCTCAAACTCTTGAGCGAGCTCTTAACCAACTGAGCCACTCGGCCGGCCCTCTGTCCCTTTTTTTAGACAGATTGAAATGAAAATATTCTATTGTGCCTTGAATTTTTGTTGTTGTTGCTGTTAGTTTCAGGTGTAAAAAACAATGTAATAGATTATGCTAAGTGAAGTAAGTCTTTTTGATTATTCTTTAATTCCCGGTTTCTGAGACATAGTAGTTGCCCTGTAAAGATGGAAATTGAAGTAAAAATTTCATTTACCAAAAATTTTAAGAAGTAAATAGTAATCATAATGGAACCTGTTCTCATCTCTGGAGTAGCTAGTTAACTAGCATCTAACCCGTTTGAGTATTACCCAAGCCTAGATGACCTGGGGGAAGGAAAACACCTAACTCCTGCCCACTCCAGCCATCCTCCCACACCTAAAAACAGAAACACTTGGGAGGTTCACAGGCCAGGTGCACAGGCTCACTAAAAACCAAGAACTGATCACAGGACTGTATAGAACACTCCCCTTTGCCCCCACACTTCAATGCCACAGTGCTAACAGCCTATTTATACCAGTAAACACAAAGGATGGGAAATGTTCATATTTGCTTATATTTGCATAAAAATCAGGAAAGATACTCAAGAAAATGATACATGTGGTTGCCTGTTGGGGGCCAATAGGCAAAAAATAGAATAATGAGGGCTTGCTTTAGAGGAAAACATTATACGTGTATCTTGGTTTGATTTTTTGTTTTTTTTACCGAAATGAAAATATGACCTGTAAAAATGCATTTTTATTACTCAAAATAAAAATTAAAAACTTAAAAATCCAGTATTGAAAAATAAAATAAATTACAGTCCAACTACAAAAAAAAATTCATTTACCATTAATCTTAATTTTTTCTCTCCATCTACAAATATATATCTTTAAGCTGTTAGGCAACATATTTTTTTCTCTCTTAATATTTAGACATCTTTTCATATTTGTCCATCGACAACTACTAGTATCATTTCCCCTGTGGATATTGTTGCTATTAGTCCAAAGACAAAACTTACAAATATTAAAAAGGAAAGCGTTTGCTTATTTGTCAACTTTTCCCAATCTTTATATTGTCTTTCTGTATTTTGCTTAAAATTTTCATTTTAAATGAACTTTTGGGGGAGGAGGAAGATTGTAGGTGGATCTCTGAAAGAGAAACTAAATATTGGATTGTTGGAAAAGTCATGACATATTTTTTCTATGTTTTTCGTTGTAAAAATGCGTCATGACTTTTCTGACAACCCAATATTTTAAAACCTGGTAGGTGTTAAAGGAAAATGCATTCTACACAAGGAG